ATACTGTTTTACAAACTGGTCGTTTGCTTGTGCCACAAACCTGAAACCGATTAGAACAGCTGTACAAGAGAGCTATCAAGGTGTTTGACAGAAAGCCTTATTCATACGACCACTGTACCATCCTTGAAAAACATAATTTCTTTTTTGACAATTTTAAGTCTTTTAAAAGTATGTGTTTTATTTATAAATGTTTACATGGAATGGCCCCCCCCTCCCTCAGGGGAATTCATCCACAAAAAAGACACTGGACGCTGCACTAGGTCAGAAACCAGAGGAGACTGTGAAGTCCACCGTAGACGGACCACTTTTGGACAAAATGTACTTTCAATTAAGGGCAGCTCATTCTGGAATAGCCTCCCAACTGAGATATGGGATTGTCCCATTCTCAATAGCTTCAAAGGTCAACTCAAAGAATGGATAAGAAACATACAGACGTGCAATCACTACTAAATGCACTTTTATACAGGGGCATCTCCTCTTGCACTTTAGGTAGCTCTTGTATCTTCTCTTGCACTTTATATGTCGTTGCTGCTATATTGTATTACCATGTCATAAATACTTGTGTATGCTGCTCTTGCTCTCTTGCACTTTTTGCATAACAGGTATTTTGTTTTTTACAATATTTGTAAAATGTAAATTTCTTCAATATTTTTATGTGAGGGACTGCAGATGGAAATTAGCTGAAAGCTAAATCTGGCACTGTTACGCTTGACACATTTTAATGTTTCAAGTGTTCATTACCGTGCATTGTCCCTGCCAAATAAACGATTAAATAAATAAATATTGTTCATCTATATTGAGGCTCACATACAGACATGTAAACAAAGCAGTCTCAGCAACCTCTCACCCTCCTAATGATTTCACAGAAAGGTTAACATGTTATAGATGAGAGTATGCCAGATTTGCAAAGTATATCTTACAGCACCACTCTATTCAGATAGTACATGAAAAAAGAAAGAAATGGTGTGCCTTTCATAACTTCCTGTCACAGTGCAAGCTTGCTACCACTCATGTGCTATGAGGAAACGTGTCACTGCTTTTTACAACCACTCTAAACTAAGAACAAAGTCCAACAATATTCCAATCTGTATTTCACCAAATACCAATCAGTAGTTAATAAAGGTTTAATACTGTTGTTTGGTATTTGAGTCTTTTTAATATAGTTATTTTTTTAGAGCAATTCAATTACATTAAATAACAATCTAAATGGTTAAAATAATTCAAGGCTGTCTTTACACAGTTACATATATTTTGATACACCACTCATGAAGTGTGTGTTTCACAGGAAATGTGCACTATCTTGCCAATCAGCTCCTCCCTTTTGTTCCAGTGTGCTCATGAAGAGGGAAATGAACAGATTGTTCTTGCTTGCTTTGCCACGGTTTTAGTATAAACTTACTTTTAAATCTGTGGGTTTTAAAACACATCAGAGGATACATGGTAAGTGAAATGCAGATTTAAAATATTACAAGGGAAATGTTTTTGGAAAATGTTTGTCAGTGTCTTTACAAACTGAAACTGTTCTTGTTTTAATGTCAGTGTGTAAAAGAAAGGGCACAATGTCAGCAGTAACTAAAGTATCTGTATGAAAAAGAAAATATCTAAGCTGTCATTAAGCCACTTTATTTAAGTTAAGCAGCTTTTCATATTTCCATGTTTAATAATAGATTTGAGGTGGCTCTACCAGTTCAGCAGGAAATGGCGCTGCGGAGCCGCAAGACTTATGGTGATGAATGCTTTGAGAAATGGGAGTTTGTCAGCTCTGGGGGATTCGGTCAAGTCTGCAAGGCCAGGCTAACGGACTTGAGAATTGATGTGGCTATTAAGATACTCCATGATGGATCTTCTAGGTAAATATAAAAATACCTAAAAAGGTCATGCACATTCTGAATAGAAGTTCAAAAGGTTGTTACTGCTTTCCCATATCTCTTTTCAACAATCCCCTACCTTAACTATCATTTCCAGCTCCTCCATGATACTGCGTGATGAGGCCAAGTATATGGATATGGCTTCCTTTAACTTTGTGGTGAGGCTTTATGGAATGTATCAGGGCTGTCTGCCTGGTAAAGGACCATCCACACAACAGGGATTAGTGATGGAGTTCATGGAAGGAGGATCTGTTCAGTCCCTGCAGGAGAAACTTGGCGACCGTCCACCGTGGCCCCTGTGGCCCCTGGTTTCCCGCTTGGCCCATGAAGTGGCTCAAGGCATGAACTTCCTCCATGAAGAACATCTCATGCACCTAGACCTTAAGCCAAGTAATGTACTGCTGAATGATAACCTTAACGCCAAGGTAAAGTGCCTAACCTCCTATGTTTACATTAGACAAAAGGAGATTTAATAATGTGTTTAATACTATGTTTCCCTTCTTTCTCTGTAGATAGCAGACTTTGGTCTGTCCAGAGTTTCCGCCAGCGCTTCAAACAGCAACAAAGAGACAACAGGGGCGATTGGTGGCTCATTCAAGTACATGCCTCCAGAAGCTCTTCAATCATTATCATATGAACCTGTTCGTTCTTTTGATGTATACAGGTAAGAAATGAACAAATAATACTACCCAATATGGTATTAACCTTAAAAGGATACTTTACACCCAAACCAATCATTTGTATATCTAATACTCACCCTGTGTTATCTGGAATTCATGAGAGACGGATGAAGATTCTAAAAAAGGAATAAATCCTTGATAAATTTAAGTAATTAGGGACTGCATATAAGAATAGCAAAACTATTTAAAAATATCTGTGAACAAACTCAGATGTTAACAGAGGAGGCATGCAGGAAAGTTGTATACAATGAGTTATTACTATACAAATGGTAGTGTTGGGGTGAAGTATTTCTTCAACAGTGTTACCGTGTTATGAAATCCCTTTCTCTCTCTTGTCATATCAGCTATGGTATCCTGCTCTGGACCATTGCTACTGGTGAAGATCCCTATCCATGTAAGTGTAGTTTATTTTGTTGTCCTATCATTTTCCACTCTGTTGTTTTTCCTTTTTTGCCATGTAGGTTTACAATAACTTATTCAATTAAATCAATGTTCTTTATCACATGTACTGCAGGGGCTAATTACGATCGTGTGGCATTGAGTATCCCTAAGGGGGACAGACCTTGCTGTAAGGAAATTGAGCAGATGAAGGTAGATGGGCTGAAAGAACTGATTCCCCTCATGAAGGAGTGCTGGCATGGCAGTCCCAACCAGAGGCCTACCTTTATAAGTAAATATTTGTTTTTGTTGTCAGTAAGTTTGAAATGTTTCTGAACTAAATGAGCTACACATTAGCTTGGATACCTTTTGTATACTAGCTTGACACACATATTTACAATGTAACGGTGCTTCTGTTTTAGAGTGCCTGGACGTCACTGAGAAAGTGCTCTCAAAGCACAGCATGGGAATTGATGATGCCGTGCGTCAAGTGAAAAGACTGGTACAACTCATACATTTAATTTCATTAAAGGAATAAGTGCATATAAGTTGATTTGTAACTTAGATACACTTTTAACAGGTTTATCTTCTTTCTCTGATATATCATATTTTTTTCCTGTGTTACTTTAGATGTCACCAAACAGCAAAACATCAAACACAAGTGAGGCGACCAATGTTTCCCTTCAGACAGCAGGTAGATTGTTCAACACTGTTTGTGGGTGGAAGTAGTTTAATCTAAGTTATAAATTATTACTTACTTTTGACAATAGAATATTATGATTCTTTCTCTTTTGCAGAAGAGTCAACATATGATTCTGTGGATTCTGGAAGGTCTTCTACTAAAACAATGAGCATTCAAGATAAAGGTGAGTATTTTTGCACCAAAAATGTATTAAAAAAGTGTGTTATCATTTCCTGTTAAACATAAAATCTCAATAGAGCATTTTATTGAATGACAGCATTTCATACAAAGTCAGTTAATTATGCCTTTTATATGTACATTATTTTATTCTTCTATATTTGAAAACAGCAAAGTTTGTTGATCGCAACTGGGCAGAGTTGATTCAAGACGTTTCAGAGGTAATGGCAATAACCGAGGCGCTTGGAGACATGGTCCACCCTGAAACCTTATCCAAGATTGAAAGACAGGACACAAGCCAGGATAAAATGAGAATGCTTCATGGGCCTCTACGTTCAGGGGGCGATAAGGTCAAGGCAGCCTTCTACGACGCCCTCAAGGCTCAACATCTCCACCTAGTGGAGAGGCTTGGTAGGACTTCCTTCTGTAAATGATTAACATGGGAGTTTATCTAATGACATATTATCATATTTTAAAATGTCTCCTTCTTTACAGGTGGTTCATTCTGAAGACACTGTGGCCTCGCGCATTCTCGCAGGTGCAGAATACTTTGCATGCCTCACCTACTTTCATCTTTTGTAAAAAAGTTCATATATGTTATGCTTTTATACATATTGTTGAGATTTTATAAAACTTTTATATTCTGTAACATATCAAGTTTTACATTTAAGGATCTTTGAAAAACAAAATGTTTTCTTAATAAACAATTGTTTATTAACAGAAAAAAAAATACTGTGTCTTTATGGTTTCATTGAGTCGACAAACATGTGTTAATTTTATAAAGAGGAAGTTGCTCTTACTCGAGAGCGGGAGAGATAGAAAGAGAGAGAGAGAGAGAGAGAGAGAGAGTCACCTGCAGATGATGGCGTCAAGGGGGCATCTTGGCCAATACAGTTACTCATGTTTCAGCTCTTTGCAAAGGTTTGTTGTTCACCACTCACACACTGAACACTGGTCAATACGCTGAGCTGATGAAGAGAAAAAACATGAAGACAGTTCACACGTGTAGTGAATCTTCAAACCACCTTTCGTGCATTCATTTACCTTCATTTTACTTTAATTGTGAGTGCTTTTCTTTCACTCGTTTACCTTCTTTTCTGGTGATAAAATGTTATATCGGATATGATTGACAGTATTCTCAACATGTGATTTTCTATGAGTTTCCATAAACAGAAAATAATTTAACTAACTTAGGTATAAACAAATGTTTCCCTTTCTCTCACGTGGACACTTCTGTCTGCCTGTCTCTCTATCTGTCTCTCCCCTCTGTCTCAAAGGAGCTAAACTGGCGGCATAAAGGTATTCTGGGATTTGACCTTTGTCTCATTCACAGCTCTGTCTCTCTGAAAAAACAACACACTGTAATTTTTGCAGACTTAATCAACAGGTTAGCTGAAAACTCTGTGCTCCTGCCTGAGGGCCTTACTGGCCTCAAACTCCGGTGACCAGAGCTGAGAAACAGGAAAACAAACTCTGGACTTTTGTTGCTGCTTCTTCTGCAGTTTTGGGATTATTGAGAACAATTATCTGGCCATACTGGATGTAAAACAGATGGCAAAACTGCTTCCTCCCAAGTTCAGCTGTGCATGAAAGGTATTTATGTGAACATGCACTCAAAGCTGTTTATCAGTGCTTAAAACTGAACAAGCTGTGTGGGAGCTGCTCGGACCAATGTTAACTTGCTGGTAAAGGTGTGAACAGAGACACTTACCAAATCGACTACCGGAGGATCGTTGGGGACATGGAACCAGCGCGGCCTCGCATCTTAAACAGAGATGCCACATGGATATGGGCATGAGACATGCAACCCAGCGCTACAGTGACACATATCCAAGCTGGATATGAACCAGAGAGGTCAGTCTGTCACCACATGGCTCATACTATAAGATCTGAGATATTTTCACTTTCCAGCAGCACTGGTTGTGTGCTTTTAAAAGCCTGTTCATCAGCTTCCTGGGCAGAAAGCCAAATCCTCTTACCTGCACTGCCGTCACAGGTGTATAGAAAGAGTGTTCACAGACAAGAACAGATCCCTTTTGTTACTGTTTTGGGTCACCAGTCCAACATTTGCAATAGTCTGGAGCCTGTGTTTAAGAAATGTCCACTGCAGCGCGTAGCACGGTTTTAAGTGTGCTGTGCCAAACCCGGCCCGTTTTTTGTTGCGTTTCCACTAGGGGTATTTCCGGCTAACGGGTACTTTTTCACAGTTTTCTGGCCCTCCAAAATCGTGGTTCTTTCCGGGCCAACAACCGGGCCGAATATGCTAAACTAGTGAGAGAATCGCTGAAAAGGGGGCTACAACTAAAATGAACATATTTTACCGTGATTTAATTGTAATACACGTTTCAAAATAATGCCGAAGTAACAACATACTGATACCGGTTAGTAAAAACCATGAATTAATGCTTTGACAAGTCTGCAGACAGACGGCAGGCGAAAAAGCTTTTAAAATGCGTGTCTTCTGAATGGAGATCGGCTAAGCTAACGTTGTATATGCTCCGACCGTCCACACTCACAACAACGGCCTACAGACATAAATAAACCAGCGACTGTATTCACCATGACACAGACAGTCTGTGGTTTGTACTTGTTTAACTTTTGTCTCGTTTCTGAACAGATATGAGGAGCTGTGAGCTCTGAGTGCTAACAGCTAACGGCTGATGTTGGTTTTGTGGTTCGCATTGAAGATGACGTCACGGCTCCGCCTACACTGCATTACTATAGTTACTGCCCCAGCTACTAAACTGTAATGGAAACACAGCATAAAGTGAGCCTGGCCTACCAAGGCCTCACTATACCGTACTAAGCCGTGCGAGGCCCTGCAGTGGAAATGCGCCATAATGAAGCCCTGCTCAAATTTCTGGCAAGAACAAAAACATAAGTTTTAAGGGGTTAGAGGCCAGTCAATGTAAGTCGTTTTCTTCTTATTGGGAAAAAGTGTTGTTATGGGTGCTACAGTGTCACAGATGACTCTATGTCAATAGTCACTTAATGTTTTTGTCGACTTGGTCCATCTTACCTTGACTTTGCGGACCTCGTTGGCCTGGAACTCAGCAGTACAGTTATGATGAATTATTCCAATCCCACCCATCAACTGAAAACAACCAATCAGGGACATGGGAGGAAATAATTAATTGATGAATGAAATGAATGAACACTGAAAATGTATTTAAGGCCTTCAATATCCTGGTAGAGTCTGTGGTGCAGGACGATGCTAAGCTGAGTGTAAATCGTTGTATGGCGTGTCTGAGGTGCAGGGTTTTTACTCACTGCCATGGCGATGGCCATGGATGACTCTGTGACTGTATCCATGGGAGATGAAATGAGAAGTGTCTTCAGTGTTATCTTTCTTGTCAATGCAGAGGTAAGATCCTAAAAATCACGTGAATTTGGAAAAAAGAAACATCAGCTTTAATCAAAGATATAAATACACATTTAAAATGACATGGCATACAACTGAGAAGCAAGGTCCTGCAGTGTTGCAGCTACAGGACAATGCTACCCATTTGTTAACCAAAAGTTAAGGTTTGTTTTTGTATGCCGTTGTAAGAGCCTAAAAGCCAGCTTGGCCGATTAGAGGCCGCCTTGTTGAATCCACCTGCTGAGTGTTAGGTGACGCATGGGTTGTGTCTGTTTTTAACACCTGCTATCGAGCAATAACCCATGTGACCTAGGCAAGTAGGCATGAAATTAATTTAAAGTCCCAGCAGAGCTTGCAAAGACGAAACAAAGCATGTGAAATAAACAACCCTGTGCTCTAAGGAACATAACAACGAGTTAGGGATTCATTACAAGCATTACAGCAAACCTTGTCTGTTCTTGTGAATGATACAAACAAACATTTTTCTTCAATTGAGACCAAGGATGAGAAAATGTTTGTGTTCTCATCCTTGGTCCTTCTTAATATGAAAAACTAAGAAATTGTTCTGTGTGCATCACCTATTAAACAAATCTAACAAAACAAACACCAGGGAACAGTTTGTCACTTGAGTGATAAGCGAGAGAGGGTTGAGACACTTACCACCTCATCAGAAGTAACATCTATGAAACCAGGCAGGATCAAGAAGTCACTGAGAGGAAAGACAAAACAGACACAAGTGAAAATCTGATTTGGAACTGAAAAAGTTTCAATATCAATAATACAATGACCTCAATAAACAAGATGAATGTAGCTTTAGATGTGAACTATACAGAGCAAATTCTATTCCTACAATGCATCAGTTTTTTAGAGGTTGCTGTGAGCAGACCTAATCTGTCAACCCTCTGAACTGGTCTGCATTTATCCTCTGCACACTGATAAACCCTGCATATAGCCTCCATTAAGGAAACCACACCAACACCCATTAACACACTGATATGTGCACACACACTCACCCACTGTTATTAATGTCTGAAAGCCATCCTTGAAAGTAATATTACACATACTAATCCTCAATATAATACCTAGGCAGATGTGTCATCACTGATATTACTAAACATTAAATGGAAGGCATTGATTGCATAATCTAATGTGTATTTCTGTATGTGCACATGCACGGCATACCATGTGAGCAAATGCATCCGTGTCAGTGTGTGATACCATGAAATGAGGGTAAAATGTATCTGTTATGTTTTGTGTTTTTTTGCATTTCTTACTTGTATGTAAGTCCATCGCCGATTGCAAAGAGTTGTTGTGCTGTTAGTCCATCTTCAGGAACATAACCTGTGCCTCCACTGATCCAGTAGTCTGCCATGCTGGAGTATAAACACACACAGAGAGCCTATATAAAATAAATGCATTATTATTATTATTATTATTATTAGTTCACGGAATGCCCTTGTATACACACATTTACCGCCAAACCATATATCACATATTTCACTGTACCATAGTTACTGGTTCATATATCTATACAAATGTTAAAAAAAAAGTGTAGTCTCTATGCATGTATCCCTTGTGCGTAACATGTTGTTTTATCTTTTCTCACCTCTGTTTCTTAAACACAGGCTCCAGACTATTGCAAATGTTGGACTGGTGACCCACACAAGTAACAAAAGGGATCTGTTCTTGTCTGTGAACACTCTTTCTATACACCTGTGACGGCAGTGCAGGTAAGAGGATTGGTTTTCTGCCCAGGAAGCTGATAAAACAGGCTTTTAAAAAGCACACAACCAGTGCTGCTGGGAAAGTGAAAATATCTACAGATCTTATAGTATGGCCATGTGGTGACAGACTGACCTCTCTGGTTCATATCCAGCTTGGATACGGTAGCACTGTAGAGCCTGGGCTGCAGTCTCATGCCCATGTACATGTGGTGAGGGGGGGGACATCCAGTAAGCCATGTAGGGGAGAGGTCGTTCCCCATCTCTGTTTAAGATGCGAGGGCCGCGCTGGTTCCATGTCCCCAACGATCCTCCGGTAGTCGATTTGGTAAGTGTCTCTGTCCCCTCTCCAAACCGGTCATAACCATGACCCTCCATCCAGGGCCCCAACGCCCCCCCCCCCACACACACACACACACACACACACACCAACACAACCACACACACACACACACCACACACACACACACACACACACACACACACACACACACCAACACACACACACACAACCACACACACACACACACACACACCCTCTTCAAGCACTTCTGACCTGTTTCATGAACACAGCTTCACACCTTTACCAGCAAGTTAACATTGGTCCGAGCAGCTCCCACACAGCTTGTTCAGTTTTAAGCACTGATAAACAGCTTTGAGTGCATGTTCACATAAATACCTTTCATGCACAGCTGAACTTGGGAGGAAGCAGTTTTGCCATCTGTTTTACATCCAGTATGGCCATATAATTTGTCTCAATAATCCCAAAACTGCAGAAGAGCAGCAACAAAAGTCCAGAGTTTGTTTTCCTGTTTCTCAGCTCTGGTCACCGGAGTTTGAGGCCAGTAAGGCCCTCAGGCAGGAGCAAAGAGTTTTCAGCTAACCTGTTGATTAAGTCTGCAAAAATTACAGTGTGTTGTTTTTTCAGAGAGACAGAGCTGTGAATGAGACAAAGGTCAAATCCCAGAATACCTTTATACCGCCAGTTTAGCTCCCTTTGAGACAGAGGGGAGAGACAGATAGAGAGACAGGCAGACAGAAGTGTCCACGTGAGAGAAAGGGAAACATTTGTTTATACCTAAGTTAGTTAAATTATTTTCTGTTTATGGAAACTCATAGAAAATCACATGTTGAGAATACTGTCAATCATATCCGATATAACATTTTATCACCAGAAAAGAAGGTAAACGAGTGAAAGAAAAGCACTCACAATTAAAGTAAAATGAAGGTAAATGAATGCACGAAAGGTGGTTTGAAGATTCACTACACGTGTGAACTGTCTTCATGTTTTTTCTCTTCATCAGCTCAGCGTATTGACCAGTGTTCAGTGTGTGAGTGGTGAACAACAAACCTTTGCAAAGAACTGAAACATGAGTAACTGTATTGGCCAAGATGCCCCCTTGACGCCATCATCTGCAGGCGACTGCTCTCTCCTCTCCCCCCCCCAGTCTCTCTCTCCCCTCTCTCTTCTTCTCTCCCTCTCGCTCTATCGAAGCAACTTCCTCTTTATAAAATTAACACATGTTTGTCGACTCAATGAAACCATAAAGACACAGTATTTTTTTTTTCTGCTAATAAACAATTGTTTATTAAGAAAACATTTTGTTTTTCAAAGATCCTTAAATGTAAAACTTGATATGTTACAGAATATAAAAGTTTTATAAAATCTCAACAATATGTATAAAAGCATAACATATATGAACTTTTTTACAGAAAAGCCTCTTACAGTCTCTACCCTCCCCCCTCTCTCTCTCTCTCTCTCTCTCTCTCTCTCTCTCTCTCTCTCTCTCTCTCTCTCTCTCTCTCTCTCTCTCTCTCTCTCTCTCTCTCCCTTTCTATCTCTCTCTCTCTCCCTTTCTAAAAAAAAAGCAACTTCCTCTTTATAAAATTAACATCGTGTTTGTCGACTCAATGAAACCATAAAGACACAGTATTTTTAAACACATGTTTATTAAGAACAATTTTTGTTTTTCAAAGATCCTTAAATGTAAAACTTGATATGTTACAGAATATAAAGTTTATAAAATCTCAACAATATGTATAAAAGCATAAATATATGAACTTTTTTACAAAAGATGAAAGTAGGTGAGGCATGCAAAGTATTCTGCACCTGCGAGAATGCGCGAGGCCACAGTGTCTTCAGAATGAACCACCTGTAAAGAAGGAGACATTTTAAAATATGATAATATGTCATAGATAAACTCCCATGTTAATCATTTACAGAAGGAAGTCCTACCAAGCCTCTCCACTAGGTGGAGATGTTGAGCCTTGAGGGCGTCGTAGAAGGCTGCCTTGACCTTATCGCCCCCTGAACGTAGAGGCCCATGAAGCATTCTCATTTTATCCTGGCTTGTGTCCTGTCTTCCAATATTGGATAAGGTTTCAGGGTGGACCATGTCTCCAAGCGCCTCGGTTATTGCCATTACCTCTGAAACGTCTTGAATCAACTCTGCCCAGTTGCGATCAACAAACTTTGCTGTTTTCAAATATAGAAGAATAAAATAATGTACATATAAAAGGCATAATTAACGACTTTGTATGAAATGCTGTCATTCAAAAATGCTCTATTGAGATTTTATGTTTAACAGGAAATGATAACACACTTTTTTTAAATACATTTTTGGTGCAAAATACTCACCTTTATCTTGAATGCTCATTGTTTTAGTAAGAAGCACAGACCTGATGAAAAACAAAATACTCTTTCAGACTTTATTGCAAAAAATGTCAAGTCCTTGATAAATGTGTTAAAGGTATTGTTAACTAGTTTTCAGAATCCAATGTAAAACAATAGGACTGTATTGTATGTTTCCTTTATGACAATGAAGCCCTTGAATGTGATACAACAAAATATCGTACTAATTACCATCTTTTCCATGACACATGTTTTTGTTTGTTTTTGTTCTATTGCAACTTAGACAAAGTTATGTAATATGTGGAAATACATTCTGAAAAGAAAAGCTGCTTAACTTAAATAAAGTGGCTTAATGACAGCTTAGATATTGTCTTTTTCATACAGATACTTTAGTTACTGCTGACATTGTGCCCTTTCTTTTACACACTGACATTAAAACAAGTAGCCTATAGTTTCGGTTTGTAAAGACACTGACAAACATTTTCCAAAAACATTTCCCTTGTATTTTTGTTCGTGTACCTCTATTTTAAAGCTGCATTTCACTTACCATGTATCCTCTGATGCGTTTTAAACCCACAGATGTAAAAGTTAGTTTATACTAAAACCGTGGCAAAGCAAGCAAGAACAAGTATCTGTTCATTTCCCTCTTCATGAGCACACTGGAACAAAAGGGAGGAGCTGATAAAAAAAGAGGTTGGCAAGATATGCACATTTCCTGTGAAACACACACTTCATGAGTGGTGTATCAAAATATATGTGACTGACAAACTGAGTAAAGACAGCCTTTAATACTTTTAACCACATATTTTGATTGTTATTTAATGTAATTGACTTGCAGGAATGTGTTGCTCTAAAAAAATAACTATATTAAAAAGACTCAAATACCAAACAGTATTAAACCTTTATTAACTACTGATTGGCATTTGGTGAAATACAAATTTGAATATTGTTTGACTTTGTTCTTATTTTAGAGTGGTTGTAAAAAGCAGTGACACGTTTCCTCATAGCACATGAGTGGTAGCAAGCTTGCACTGTGACAGGAAGTTATGAAGAGCACACCTTTTCTTTTTTTCTTCATGTAATAAGTCTGCGAGCTAGTTCAGGCAGTTAACTCGAGCACTTATGCTGCATTCATACATAACGCCCCTTGCCACTCTACAACCAACCAAACAGAGTCTCCTTAATACGCCGCTCTATTTAACCTGCCAGATATCTCTCTATGCATTGCTTGCTGCTGCTTTGCTGCAGCTACTCTACGTCGCTGCTGCTTGCCTGCCCCACCACCACCCCAGCTTCCACCCCAGCTTCCACCTGTAGGCTCGGGGGGTTAGTTATTTAATCATCACTCATTGTGCTATGTATATCTGTAGAGTGATGAGACCCGAGCCTAGACGCCAAACTCAACTATATGCTGCTTCTAATAAACATGTTAAAGAAACACATGAGTTGTCTGACTGAACTATCTGAATAGAGTGGTGCTGTAAGATATACTTTGAAAATCTGGCATACTCTCATCTATAACATGTTCACCTTTCTGTGAAATCATTAGGAGGGAGGCTTTGCTGAGACTGCTTTGTTTACATGTCTGTATGTGAGCCTCAATATAGATGAACAATAAACTCTCTTATCAGGCCAATGAGTGACACATATATGTTTTCTCACTCTTTTTTCCTAAACTAGGAATAGAACATGCCCTTTGCTTTTGTTAGAGCACTGTTATTTAAAAAAAAAATCCTTTGAGTACAGTAGTAACAAGCAACATTTAATACATTTATTGTTATTAGTTTCAACTAGTTATTAACCTGCAAGTAAGACTGTGAACTCCCCCATCATAATTACATTTTCTCAAAATGTAAAGCTGAGCTGATGCCAATGCTCTGAGCCTCGCCCCTTCTTTTCAGCTACAGCCCTCTCTCATTACTTCTCTGTATCTCTCCATCATGCACGCTCTCTCTCATGCACACAACACAAAAGCCACGCTGCTCAGACTGTTTTCAGTCTGAATAATTAAGGCCAAACAGTGCTTAAAAAATATAAATCTCAGTCTGGAGTACAGTTGTCTGTGAACCTGACAGCTACCAGGACTATATCATACCTGTACAGTCACACATGCACACCCTGTTCATTAAGAGAGCTTGGTGTATTTGCTTACATCCCATGCTGCCTTGCTGTTTCAGCCGGCATCGATAGGCGCGGTCTGCTCTCGCTCTCTGCATCTCCATCACTCTCTCCCCTCCCTCTTCTCCACCCACCCTTATTTACGCTCAGCACAGCGTGGACCTCTCTCGCTAGTGGCTGCTCTCTCCACTACATCTCTCTCCTCCCCGGCTGCCTTTTACCTCATCCTCTGTCCTTCTAAAACTGTCTATTATACTCTCCTTTATTTGCTTTCCTCTCTGCCCTTGTCGCATGCTGATGATACATGAGGCAGGGGATCAGCCTGAAGGAGAGCTCTCTGCGCTGGATCCCTGAGTGGAGAGGGGAGGTGAGCGTCTGTCTTTCCCACCACAGTGGAGGAGGGCTTTAGACTGAGGGGCATCACTGATGCAGGTTACATCCTGTGGAGCAGTGGCAGGACAGCCCCAGGCTAAACTGAATACCAAAAACCCACATGCACGCCTGGATGTGCTTTGTGTTGTGAGGAGAGTAGACTGCAAAACGGAAGACAGGAGCCAGCAACAGAGGGAGGGGAGCATTTAAAAAGAGGTGCCAGAGTCAAAGGGGTTTGGTGGAGTTGGGTGTGGGGTCTGGGGGGAGTGTTTTAAAAGTGAGAAGAGAGTGGGGGGGTCTGCTCTGTTCTCAGATCAAAGAACTGGAAGGAGATTTGCTTTTTCGCTCAGTCTGAAGAGTCGCAGAGAGACTGGGGAGTCACAGGCTCTCCAGGGACTTCATTACAATTGGAGAGCAGAGGCTGTCTGCAGCACTGACTGACAGACAGAGGGAGGTGGGTGAGGACACAGAGAGGGAGGGCCAGTCACAGGACTTCATCTGGACAAAGGTGAGCAGATTCCTGAGGGAAGAGGAAGAGGACAACGGAGAGAGTCCTCCAAGGAAGATTTCCTTTCCACAAGAATCCATAGGAGCATCCCATCATGGCTGTCCAACACATGCCTGAATCAGCCGTGTGCTTGCTCATGGTAAGTCTCAGAGGGGTAACGTATCGCAGCTGCTGTCTACTGTGTGTCTTTGTTTCTTTCTTTCTCTCCTGTGGCTTTCTCTCATCACTCTCTCCTGGTGGAATAAAAGCCCAAACAGACACTAATGCAGGAGGTGAGCTGTCATCTAATTAAACGGGAGGTTGCTTGTTTGCTCCTCCCCTTTACTACCTTACTGCAAGCCTTAAATCCTCTAAAGACGTCCCAGTGATGCTCTGAAGCCGCTTTCCGTACTATAGAAATGTCTGGCTTTTGCGTTCTACTCAGAAAGCTTTTGTCTAACTCCTCCACGTGTTCAACTACTGCAGTGGTGAAGTGTGGGAGAAATCCCTCACAGACTGCTGCAGGCAATTGGATGCCGTGCTGAACATAGTGTGTAAGTTCAGAGACAGATATCGTAAAATATACCTTGTTTCAATGGAGTGATAAAGACATGTGTTTGTGTCTGCAGTGCATGCAAATAAGTTGCTAAAGGGGTGTGCTCTGTATGAGAATAGTGTGCGATCATTTCCCATCTCCAGGACTGAATCAATTCAATTACATACACACACACACACACACACACACACACACACACACACACACACACACACACACACACACACACACACACACACACACAACAGAGTGTTGAAATAGAAACACACAACATGCGTAAATCCATTGAACTCCTCTTAGCCCTCTGTCCAGCCGCACAGTGGAACAATGGCAGTGTGGCTTGGCTGCGTTTGTAGAATACAGATAATATGGACCCCTCTTAGGATAAGCTTTAATGAATCGAGTGTACAGTGGCGGTTCTAGACCAATTGTACTGGGGGGGCCAGGTTGGGGCAATTATTTCATGAGAGGGACACAATACAAGCGGGTTAAAAAGACAAAGACAGTATTAAGTAATTGTGTAAAATAAACATAAAATACATTAATTGGTATTTGTTTTTGTAAAGGTATTTGTTTCAGTAGTTTTTTTTCATTTAGAGTATTTGTTTTAGTAACTTTAAGTGACAATTTAATTTGAAAACATAAACAGTATTTGCTTTTATAAGATTATGAACAGTTTAATCTCCACTGTACATCGGCGTCTCTGATTTGATTTAGTTCCAATAAATCATAATATTGTAACTTTATTTTTGGAGGGGAGCCACAGGGGGGTTCCTAGTCAGTGTTGCGGGGGCACTGGCCCCTGTTGCCCCCCCCCCTAGAATCGCCTCTGATGAGTGCAGGAAAAGAAGGTGAAGGAGTGAGAGAGAAAATGAAGAGAAAGTGAAAGGGGAAGTGAGCTGTATTTTCACAGAAAGTAGCAGTATGATCACCTTCACAATTGTCCCTTCCAAAATAGACCCACCCTTAGGGGATTTTTTTGAACTTGTATGGTGTGGAGACAAGAATACGTTCGGTAGCGTTGGCATAGAGGGCTTCCCCTTGCAAGTGCTCTTACTGTCACAGCTGACAACCCAAGATGTCACACGCCTGACTTTCGGACTGTCACCTCAGCTTCTCAACTTCTTACCGTTACCTTTTCAATTCAGTATTATAGCCACACTTACAATTTGCCCACCATTTATAGCTCTTTGCCCATTGGCGATAAACGTAACACTTCAATATGGACATCACTGGCTCGATTTGTGTTTTCTTTGGCAGAGATGTATTTTTTTTCTGCTGGGCTTACCAAAAAAAGGAATATCAAAACGTAAATCTGGTCTGTGTTGAATTTTTCTTTAAATACAAGCTGAACCAGACTGACATTAAATAACGAATTTAAGAGCTCAGTGATTTTTTCAAAAAATCCATGGCATTTGTATTCATGCTGACAATTTCACAGCTTGAACTTATCTTCATTATTAATGGAAATTGTGGAGTGTGGGTGTAGGTCTGAGGGTGAGTGT